TTTGAAGTGGCCTGCCTCATTACGATGATCGAATTGAATGGAATAGCAAATGGATCGATAGTCAGATGGAAGACCCACAATTAAGGCGGGCAGCCATAGATAAGACCCCAGAGAGGGGCGCACCATGAGCACAGTGGGCACCAGGGGCACCAGGGCGATGGATACGCTCGGTGGTGTGCGTTAATCACGCAAGTAATTCCATTGCCTCTAACAGACCCGCACACCCTTAAGCGTGTGGAACTCTGCGCCGCCTTCTCTGCCCTGTTCCGATAAGTTTTCCTTTTCGACTAAATTTCTCTCTCTCTTTTTTTTTGTCTTTCAGGGGGTGAGTTTTTCCTGCTGTTGCTGGCACAAAGCATAATCAGCGCTAAACATGCCAAGCACAACAAAAGAACGCAAACGAGAATGTGGGCGAGGCTGCGGCAGTTCTCCAGAGGAGGGTGCAGTCGGCCTGTGTTCCCTGTTAACAAAGCTATAAAACTGTCACCTATAGTAATCAAGAGTCGCCAAGCCACAGCCATAGCCACAGCCAAAGGTAAAGTCAGGAGCAAGGCTTTTAGCATACATCATAAAAAAACACAAATTACTGCAGTCGAGCATAACTTTATTGGGTTTCAGAAAGGTTAAAATAAGAGTCAACAAAATGAGTCATTAAATGTTATTTTTTTTTGGCTAATCGAACTAACTGAAAAAATTGAATGCGGTTTTATAATACAGAATTTCAGAATTATTTCAATATCTTAAGGGTATAAGACCCACCATATTTTAGTAATATTGAAAGAGCATTGAATTTGTTTGTATTTTGTTGGTCATATTTCGCTTCTTACGCTTCACTACTTTTATAGCCGGTACTTAGTAGAACATATGTACCTTAGTGTTTTTTTTTCAAATATAATAGAGAATTTCAGAATTATTTCAATATCTTAAGGGTATAAGACCCACCAGATTTTAGTAATATTGAAAGAGCATTGAATTTGTTTGTATTTTGTTGGTCGTATTTCTATTATTTTTTTTTGAGAATTTATTAAAAATTATTCTGACAAAAAAAATTCCATTAGACGTGTGAGACGCTTCTTACGCTTCACTACTTTTATAGCCGGTACTTAGTAGAACATCTGTACCTTAGTGGTTTTTTTCAAATTTTACATCTTACATTTTTCTACATCTGTCATCTACATCTACATCACTTCCCACGCCAACATGCTGTTTTAGCTCGCCCCCTCCTCTGGTGCAGCACACTGAACGAAGAAGAGTGTGGAATGAGAGAATGTGCAAACAAATAAGCAAAGCTGCTGGACGGGGTGGGTTTAGCCACTGCAAATTAATTTCTTCATTTCGGCTATACTTAATAATGATCACCGAATTGGGATCAGGTAGATATGGTCCTGCCCTACAGAATGGCGGGGGCAGAAGGAGGCGGGGCGAAGTTTTGAAATATAGCCAGCCATCTGGACGCAAAATAATGTGGCTCTAGCTTGTATAGTCCAGGCACTCAACAAGACGGACGGACAGACAGACATGACCAAATCGACTCGGCTATTGATGCTTATCAAGAATATATATACACTGTTGGGTCAGAAAAGCTTCCTTCTGTATGTTACCTGTATGTTATTTACTTTTCGAGTACCGGGAATACAAAAATCAGCCATTATAAGAATTTGTTTGTTTTAAATTTTATATTTTAGGTTTTCTTTGTTCCTTTAACTTATTCCACTTTTTCGAATCAAAATCATTTTGCGTCCCAAATAAACTACGAGAATTCCATTGGCACACAGCTTTCCACCTCCACTTCTGTACCTGCTCTCGGAGCAGTATTTATGTTGATTTGCCGACTTAGGCAATTACCAGCAAGCGAACAAAAGGCGTTGGCGCTTTTCAATATTTATACGCTTCGCCATTCAATTGCCCACCCCACCATAAGATCCCCGCCTAATGGTATGTAAATGCTTGACGGCTTACAAAGCACAAGTCCAAGCATAACAATGGCGGGAAGGCGGGCGGCAAGCAAAAGTCAAGGAAAAGGCGACCACAACCCGTTATTATTATTGTTGCATACGTCAAGGCGCTGGTTCTTTGTTTTCTTTTTTGTTTCTACCGCTTTGTTTTCCCAAGTAATTTGCAGTGGCATGTAATTTAATAGCACTCGCAGGTGTTCGACGCCACCAGTAGAGTGTGTGCGAGTGCCACGGCGCTTTTGAATGCGCCCCAGGTGGGCAGCGAATCGGGAGTGGCATGTCAAAAGGTAAATTATGCCAGCGGCTGACAAGACAGAGACAAGGCTCCTTTGGTCTCCGGGCTCTCACCTTGTGTGTGGCATGTGGCTGTGGCCAGGCACCGTTCAAGATTATTGGTTTCAAGGGTAAAATTATGAAATGAAGTGGAAAATTAAGTGTATGATTGAGCCAAGTGCTGGGGGAGAGTACCTACTCAAGGGGCTGAGGATGTTGATGGAACATTTGAAGGGTAAAGATGAAAGAGGATTGACGTGAGCCACAATTAAGAGAAGCAGAGTGGGGTTGCATGAGGAAAAGTATTTTACAGGCACGAATGTTCTTAGAGGGATTGTGCACAACAAAACACATTTTAAGTAGTATATTTCTATTTCTTTCTTAAATCAGTTTAAAAAAGAAATTAATTTTTTCTTCATTTTTAATTAGCTTCCTTATTTTATTACTCATACAAAACTTCGATGGTTTTCTTTGGCATTTTCTATTGAACAACATTTTCCCTACCAAATTAAACAGCTTTCTTGCATGGAAATGTGTGAGTCCTCAACTTTTCTGTGTCCTTCACTAAATTCATTGTACCTACAAGTCTCACCCCTGCGCCCTGTCTCTTAGTTCTGTTTTTCAGTATCTCTGAATGACAAAGGAACAACTTACTTACTGGAAACCGTGAAATAAAACTTTAAAAAGCAAGTTCGTGTCTGAGTCATAGCCCAAAATGCAATCAAACTTCTCGGCAAATGAACGGGAGAAAGGACCCCAAGAACTGTGTCAACGACTTCGCTCCACTTAACCATTTAACGAGCGAGTTAGCCAACACGTAATGCCAACAGCAAAGAGATGTGAAAAAATTCAAAACAAGTGGCACAAAAGTATTGAACAACAATAGAGAAGAGAAGATACAAAGAGAGAGAAGGAGAAAGAGAGTAACTCCACCAGAAAAAGCAACAGACAACGCATGCTTCATTATAGGAATAAACATGGAAGAGAAGAGACAGAGACGGGGACGCGACGAACATCCCCTGTCAAGGATGAATGTAAAAACAGACAGAAGTGGAATAAGTAGGAAGTGGGTGGTGGATGAAGAACAGGGCCAGGACACGAGGATACCAGGACACGGAGACACAAGACTCGGGACGCACGCACAAAGCACAACAAAGAATGCCGGCGACGTCATCTAACGCCGCACGCACAAACGCGCCCCCTCCTGTGACATTATACTAGCCCACCCCATCTCATCCCATCCCCATACGATACGAATGTAGCACCAACACCCGATTCTAGACAGCCACCACCATTAAAGTGAAATACACAATGAAATTTACGCAATATCCTCCAAGTAACAGACTTTTCTCTGTAATAAAATCAGAAAATAGAGAATAAAGGACAAAGAAGGATAGAGTATAGAGCATAGAGTGAATAAGAGGAAAGAGGGTGACAAGCGGACAACAAAAACAACATGTGATAAGGCAGTCAGCTGAAAGTGAAACAGACAGACAGTTAGAAAGAGAGATTGAGGCAGAGGGAGAGAGAGAGTCAGGGAGAGCGGAATGTAATGCAACAGAAATAAATGTAAATCCGATTAGAATTTCAGTTTTTCGTAATATTCCCACAGCTGGTTGACAACTTTAAGAGAAAGAGAAAGGAAAAACGAGCCTCAAGGAACAGCCAGTGGATAAGTCATTCTGTAGGTGAACTACAATGGTTATATTATGAACCAAGTGTTTGACTTCAGGATATATGTTGGCTGTATCTTTCAACAGATTAAAGATGCTAATATGTTAGTCAAAATCTGTCAAAACTTTATGAATTTTAATATGCAATAGCCAATATGCAATATAATTTTTTTGAGCACTGAATATTGATAAAACATTTCAAATTCAATTAAAAAATTTGTTTTCTTTAAAATTGTTAAATTAAAACTTTAAAATATATTTATAGTATTCGTTCGGCAAACAACTCTTTTTTGAGTTCAAAATGTTTAGTAACATTTGTACCTGGTCAATGCGGACTCATCAACCAACCAATTTCGCTGTAGCGAATAAATTTAAAAAAAAAACACTTTTTCTTTTTCCTTTTTCCATTTTCTATAAAATTTTAGTAATTTGTTTGAGCTCTCTGTAAGACAAAGCTCTTAAAAATCTTGAAAATTAGTCTACTTTCGGGGTAAGAATAATGCCCCCAACACATTCAGCTTCAAGAGAACAATGCAGTCAGAACCAGCAGATGTTGACCAGTGCAAAGATTGCGGTTCGTTAATGGCACAGAGAGGCAGACGGCCTAAAAACAAGAGTCATATTGACCTACACACACTGATTTTGAATTTCCCACCAGAAAAAATATATATCACGCACGCACACACATATATTTTGCGAAGGACATGCATAAAACACAGACACACAGGCAAATGATTAATTGTCAAAATATGTTGAGCAAAGCAAAAAAAAAGACTTGGGGAAGTGTAAAAAGAGGTGGTGAGCTGAAAAAATGAAGAGAGTGAGTGGGGAAAGCGTCACAACAACATAATAAAAAGTGTGTTAGTGTGTGTGCTTGTGTGTGTGCGGTCATGTATGCATATGTATTTGTATTAAGTTGTCATTACGTGACTCTACGGACAACAAGATTTATTATCATTTTGTCCGCTCTCCGGACCGCTCTACACACTTCACACACCCACAGCACTCTGCACTCTCCTGTTTCCTGCACTCTCTTCACTTCGCTCCGCTGCTTGTGGTGTGGTGTGAAAATTCATTCCACTCTCGATTTGATACTCACAGTAACTTGTTGAGCAAACTCAACCTTCGGCTGGCCGACCAATTCAATAATATGAACCATATGGAACGATTTGCTCTTGGACGTGGCGCCTTTGCGAGAAAAAATGGTCAACGCTTTTCTGAATTTTCACTGGGAATTTTCTGTTGTCTGCACCGTTATGGGTACGGTTTTCTCTTTTTTAATATTATTTTTAAAGTTTTTCTTGGTAACACTTTTATTTATAATTTTTATTTTTTTGCACTTGAGTTTTTCTCTGTTTCGGTTGTTTTTTTTTATTTGGGTTCTTTTGTTTTATTGATTTACTCTTGGAGTGTATTTGATTCTCTGCAGTTTTTTGTCTCTGTTTTTGGTCTGCTCTAAATGTGCTCGTGAGTGTCTATAATAAATTATCTTATCTGTATTTTCCAGTATTTAAACACACACACGTGTAGTACCGATGCTGCTGCTGATGCTTCCCTTCCTCTCTCGCTTCCCAGTCGATCGCCTGCTCGTTTCTAAAATCGAATTAAAATTTGTATTTCATGGATTTTTTGTGTCAGGTGTAAGCATGGGTAATTGAGAGCGCTTTTCAGGTACAGTCGGTTTGAAATGATTCTTTTCGGAAACGTATTTAGATAAGCGTTTCGTGTTTAATTGCTTGGAAATGAGGAGAGGCATGGGCCGGTGCTGAAGGCGGAGGAAATAAATCCAATCCGAAGCGCTCAAGTACTTGTTTGTGTTTATTGCTTTTTGCAAAGAAAATGATTTACTGTTTTTACTCAATTCATGGATTTATTCTTGGGAAGGTCAAAAACAGTTTTCATTTGAGGCTCCACAATAATCATAAATAATATTTGTTGAGCGTAAACTTTAGTGCACTTTGAACAAAAAACATTTAAATGCACTTCACTTTGAACTTTGAGTGGAATTTGACAAATATTTTAAGCACTAGATGGAAAATCTAAAAAAAATTATTTTAAACCATGTACCAGCAAAATATTTCAGACAACCAGAGACACATATGAGCAGTCAAACAAGAAAACTAAAGAGTATGAACTTAAAACATTTTTGTTTTCCTTAGCCCCACAGAAAGCTATTAGAAATGGTTAAAGCCATTTATGTGCATTTTAACACTTGTTGAGAGGCAGAAATGTTTCATTTTCAGCCAGGCAAATAATTTAATTTAATGGGTGCCAATCGGGCCACATCAAAGCGGCCGTAAAATATTTTTACCAGTCGAAAATACTCTCGATAGTATTTCCAGCAAGCACAGGCCAAAGTCCCAGCCCATAGAACCAAAAATCATGCTCTGGTGGCCAAAAATCATTAAGAGAAATGCATGTTCAATTAACATGGCCATACTCGTATAAATGCCACCGAAATATTCACTATATTCATACACACGACTATGTATGTATTGGGTAAAAACCCAGGCAAACGCACTTCAAATCCAAAAACTACGGCAAACAAAACAGATTTTATTTTTTCATTGGCAAAAATGGTTTCAATGCGATTTCTCGGGTCTGTCGAGTGCTGGAGAATCGGCGGAGGAATTCCATGGAAATGAATATGAAATTATGAAATGCTCAGAATATTCAATTCGATGTGAGAAACATTTTCTCTACTCTGGGTTTGGTTTGGTTTGCTTTCTGGGCCAACATTTTAATTGAAAATGTTTTCGTGTGCTGCGAGCGTGAAACAATTTTCCGTTTGTTTGTTTACGTAGGCAAATTGGAAAAAATAGAAGACACAAAAAATAACAGAGAGAAAAAGTGTTTTGGAAGAGTGAGCCCCCATCGAAAAGAGAGGAAAACAACCTGATCTGAGTTCTGCTCTTTATCCAGTGTTGTTTGGGCCTTTTTTGTTTACCAATTATTTCTAATTATTTTGGGGTTTGTTTATCATGGCAGTCGATCTATTTTGAGAACTTATGTGGATGGGTCCGCCCTGTTCAGAGTTGGAACAGAAACAGAACAGAAATCAGAAATCTGAAGTCGGACTAGGATTATACTGGGATAAACTGCTTTATGTGTGTGCTGTAAGCTATTGGAAATACTTTTGAGCGTGAGCTGTGGATGATCTTAATGATAATTGCCCTTGCTTACAGATTTAACAGTTATATATTTGAATCGGTTTTGGTTTGTTTTGTTTTGTGTTTGTTGGGGTTTTTGAGAAACGAATTTGTAGATTTGGTTTTCGATTTTGTTTGGTTTTTTTTGTGGTGATTTGATTTGATTAAATTTGATGATATATTCGCAATATATATGTTGAAGCAAATTATTATTTTGTTAAAATTTGAATTGGTTTTTCGTTTCCTTCGTTGGTTGAATATTCTAATTTAAATTATTTTTTGTGTGTTCAATACAGCGTTTCGGAATCGAAGAACAAATGTCACACGACAGTCGACGAGAACTATACGAAATATTCCGACTTAACTACACAGAACTCACTAGGCTGAACCTCACGATTGAACTGTACGTGAAAATGTGGAAAATGCTGAAGAAGGACGGCGCTTTCGAAGGCGAGAAGAACCCGTAAAAGACGAACAGAGGCACGAATCGCACCGAAGCGAAGCGAACCACGAACCGATGCGAACAACACCGAACGGCAACGAACACCAACGAACTTACAACACATCCGACCAATTCGAACTAGCGAACGCAACAGCCCAACACAGCCAGCCGGCAACGGACGAGTAGGTAGCGGTTAACAACAATGCAACCCCCGCCCACCCACAGCAACCAACCCAACCAAGCGTTGTCGAACATGTGTGATGCGGTTCGATGTCGAACCAAAACAAGCAGCCAGTTCGGCTATTAAGACCAAGATCTGGGGTGGAAGGATGGGGTTGCGTCGGGTCCTTACTCGATAACTAACTGATAAGAAAAAGTCCCTCTGCGAAAAGTTGTTGTGCTGGAAATTAAATTTATTCCATGGATATGCTCACAACTATTATAGAACCCTTTCTGTGGACATTTCTTAAGACCAGTTTCTATCTATTACAGAACATAACAAAAAACACAACCGAGAACAAGAAGAGAGAAAAAAGAAAAGGAAAATCGGCCGAGACCGAATAGTGGCACACAGAGGCTGGAAAATACAACAAGGCCTAAAGGGAAAATAGCCGACCGACCCACCTTTCCACCCGACCACCCACTCGTGCTAGCCGAAGCACGCGCAGGCTCTCTCTTACTCGCGGTGCCTTCTCTCTCGCTCTGTCACTCCCTATCTGCAGCTGGTGGTGAGAGAGCGAGCGAGACGGCTAGCGGTTAGCTTGCGCCTTAGATATGTGAGGTGTTTTGTATAGTGGAGCGGAATGCATCTGAGTGGGAGAGCGCGAGAGCAGAGCGCGTGGCTGCCATGTGCCGGGCTTACTGGCTGGCCGGACTCTGTGCGTACAGCGGGGGGAGAGCTGCGGGAGTGTGGGTTGTGTTATGACGAGGCCGTCGGCAGAAGAGAGAGAGAGAGAGAGAAGAGCGTGTACAACAGAAAACATGTGCGTTTTCCCCCCGCCGGCTCACTCTGTGTGTGCATTTTCTGTTTTGACTGGAAAAGCACTGCTCATCATCGCATAATGACTCGTATTTATGAAACACATGACTCACAATATACATATATAATTACGGCTGGGTAACAATTTTTCCTTTCCTATTCTCTTTTCTTTGGCTTTTTTCTTGTGCTGCCAAAAAGCAAACACACAAAACGTGGCTGGAAGGCTACGCCAATAAGACCAGCTAAGAGAGAGCCGCTCCGACTAAAGAGAGTCTAAAAAGAGAGACAGTGACTCTGGCACTCCATTCACCAAAATGCTTGCAAAATACATCATTATGATGTTGTTGCTGGCTGATGTTGATGCTGAAGACAGGAAGAAATTAATATGCGAAACGCAACAATTTTCCCCCGAACTACAACAACAGACTGGTGGACGGGAGAGGGTAACTTTTTGTGCGTGGCTTAAAGCCGGCAAACAAAACAAAAGAACAGCAACAAGAAAAACATCTGCGAGGCATCGAATGTGATGTGAGCCAAGTTTTTGGGGCGCGGCTTGGCATTGCTTGATTTTTCTTTTTTTTTCCGGGTTCTGGACACTTTTTTTGCGGTGCTTCCCTCGTACTTGAGACACAGTTTTGGTCTTAAAGTTAAAATGGATTACAGCGGGAGGTGAATTTCAATTGGGATTATTTAGTGCTAGCGCTTACAGAGTGGATGATGGAATTCACAAATATTAGGGGATTATTAAAAATTGTTAGCTATTGTCGAAGAACTGTGATTAGATCTTAATCTGGATATGATTAAGTTTGCATGTAAAGTATCATGAGACTACTGCATAGTTTGTAACTCTCATGCAAAGATTGAATATAGATGAGACATGAGTCTTCAGGGCTCCTAAACCAGGGTTGGAATCGGTTAGAGTAGCATCGCGCCAATTTAACGCGGAGCAAAAGCTTCTGTTAATCTGCCAGCTAATACGCCAAAATCCATCAATAGTCAGCTCAATTCAGTCCAGTTCAGTTGCGTTCAGACAGTCATTCATTCAAGCTGCTAACAATCTGCGCCCTTGACAGGCTCTGAAACCTAACAACCTGCCAAAGCAGCAATGAATGTCGTCTACTCCGTTGCCTGTCCATCTGGACCTCATCCTCTCCCCTTGCCAGGATATGCCACTCCATTCAAGCGTCATTATTGTAGCTGTTATTCTTTTTTTCTTTTTGCCTGATATTTTTGCTACGCGCTTTTTGCTTTCGGTTCTTTGTGCGTGGGTGTCTGTTTCTATCTCGCTTGCCGTTGTGTTTGTGTGTCACTAGGATACGCAAAAGTATCACGCGCCACAGTCTCTCTTTCTCTCTCTCTCTCTTTCTCGCTCTACCCAAGAGAGGTCGGAACCAGAGCATTCTCCCCCTACATCATCATACCATCATCATCCCCGGCGTTGTCTTGGAGTTTTTCAATTTGATATGCTCGACCGATTTTCGCTCATTTCAAGCGCGGGATAACGTTGGCATGGCCAGGCTGTTGTTGTTGCTATTGTTTATCCGCGTTGCGCTTGTCGTCGCCAATTTATCGCATTTTTACTTTGATTTTGCGTTAATTTTTGGACTTCAACGCTGCCCCCTCTTAACTTCCTTCTCTGGAGAACTTGAACTCCCCGATGAGGAGAGTCCGAGGCTTGTTGCGTATTTAGCGCTAAATGGTCTGTTGATATTTTCTTTTTACTCAATTTTCGAGGCCTGGATGCAGGAGGCAGTCATGTGTTAAGGCACAT